CCATTCCACACCCAATGGTATACTGTATTAAACACACACAAACATGACCCACATTTATTTATTTTAATATGACCATATTTAAGTTTTTTTGAACACAATATTTTATCTCGTGCTCTCGTTTTTTCCGTGAGCATCTCGATCAAAAGTCGAAATACCAATTTAAATACTCCATCATTTGGTGTGCAAATATGCATTTAACAGTTTAACACACTTCACGTATATGGAGCCTCTGTGAAAATTATTTACTGCTTAATTATGAATAATATTATACAAGCACCAAATAGTTGTTCTTAGAAATCTATCACCCCGCATTAAAACATTTAATTAACTATTCGCCATGGCTTCTGGAAGGAGGTAACAATGTAACATTAATTATACGAAAATGTTATAACGATGTTCCACCTTAAAAATATRTATTATATTTGTATTGCATAATATTATTATACATGGCAATTAGGTACATATTATACTTGTGTATGTTCAGGCCCCCGAGGTGGCAAGTGCGCGTAATGACGTATTATATGATATAACAAAAATAATTATTTTAAATGTTTTAAAATATGGAACTATCTGAATACGTGTAGAATTATATAACGTGCCTAGTAGTTAACTTGTTTTAATTTATACGCATTCACAGTATAATAAAATAATAATATTTTATAAATAGTAATTTAATATGATGTAGGTACTTGGGTTACGACGTATGTAATTCATAAAACAAATAACAATAGAATATGTGCAGCGATGGTAGACATTTTTTTAATGTTTTTTTTTTTTTTAATACGTATAAAGAGTATTAGGTATTCTGATATTCATAGTAACACAGTCACCAAACTTACAGCATTATTGTCCCTTGCGCATTAAAAAAATATTATTATGAAATAGCTCGCGGGAATGCGGGAAGAGCGACCGGCTGCTGTTGTTGCCTTGAACGCCGTTCCGCGAAAAATCCACCCCCTTCTGCAGCATATATTTTATAGGTCACGCAGTATCTGCGTGTATATCACCCAGTCCATAACCACGGCACGATATTTTGACGATTATTATATTATTGTAACATCGCATTTACATAGATACCTAAATATTATTATTGTTATTATGTTTAGTAAATTTATATTGTGCATTTGTGATACTTACTTAAAAGATTATTATAATTATTATGTATATAGGCACATGTAGTTGAAATGTTTGCAGTACACGGAACAAAAATTTCGTGTCGATCGTTTGTGATTTCCTTAATTTTTCAAACTATTGGTATACACTAATTGTAACAATATTATAATTTTTTGATAATACACATACCGAAACATAAATTATAATCTGCGATTATGTGCGGGTAATAAAACTGCAGCAGATTTGAGAACAATGAAATTCGTTATAATATGACGATGAATGATAHGAGTGAATTTATCGACCAAATCGAATAAAAGCAATTTTAGTAACAGCTTGATGAAATATTTTTTATAGGTTTTAACAGTACCTACCTATACATATATTATGTTCGGGCACGCCATAACAATATAAATATTATACCATAATTTTATTATTTCAATCGAAAAACTTTAAGTTTGTTTACTATAATGTATAATATCATGGGTTTCTTATTGGGTAATAAAATCGCAGGCATCACAAAGTTTTTATATTCAATAAACTTCAGTAAATGTTACTATTGAACTATTTATATGTGTAGTATGTAAATGCTATTATCGCGGTATACAAATGAAAACATAATAACATGAAATGCAAACATGTTTTTAATCTAATATTTCGACCAACGTTTAAAATCTAAATCAATAAAACATAAAATTAACATCATATTAATTATACACAAGTACACAGCAATACACCATGACATTGTATATTATGCAGGCAAATTAAATTATTTAAATTTATTATTACTAATTCGTAACACCTAGCAATCAGCACGGTTATTAGATAAAACATTTTTTGTCTAAGTAATTAGTTTATCATATGCTGTAAAATTTACAGTGTAAATGTATTGTTTTAGTCGAAAATGTTGTTGTTCAACTAACACACCGATCGTGGTAGAACTTAATAAAAACCATTTTG